CAACGGACCTCAAATTCGGATTCAGCGGGTCGAAAAACATGTCCGTAGATAGGTCCGGTCAAATGCACAAACCACTTTTTTTTTGTGTGCCGGTGTTATTGAACTCTAGTGTCTATTTTTCTCTCTGTCTGTTCCATCTCTCCATTGTCTCATTCAACGAGACAATGGAGAGATGGAAGCCTTTAAGTTCATGAGCAATGTTAGACGGGCCTGTGTTATACTGTGCAATATGCACTCTATATATACATATGTTCACTTATTAATTTTCCCTAAAGTTTATCAGTCTTCGTAATGAGATAAATTTCTTTCTTGTCTTCCTATCAGGATGATAAATGCATATATTCAGTTACTTGTCGTATTTGCAGTTCCTGATTGCATACTATCATCTTATCATTACTCTGTTATCTTTGTTGTTAATATTTGCTTTATTAATAAATAAATCAGAGTTTAATATTGACCAAGTCTCTCAGTTACTCAAAACTCAGAATGAATCAGCAAATCCGTCGGTATAAATAGTGACTAGGTAGATCATTAGGTGTTGAGTTCGTAAAGATCGTCATTTGTGGTGTCAATTGAAATCATATATAGACGTTACAGACTCGTTATTTCATTCGCAGCTGGTTAGTAAACTGCGCAGTGAAGTGAATACTTAAATCAAGTAAACGACTCATTAAGGACCAATTATTCCATTTTCGGACAAATTATGTGATAATTTATCTAACAATTAAGTGAATGTTGAGCCAATAGCGTTGGCTATACAGGCATTTATTCATTTGATAAATTACCACTAGAGGTGTGCGAATCAAGCCTTTGTATGGTCGAATCGAATCGAATCAAATTTTTATAACATGTTCGAAATCGAATCGAATCGAATCTGAAATTTTCACTTCGAATCGAATCGAATCGAATTTCTTTAATTCAAATACGAATTGAATCTGAATCAAATTTTCCCAAATTAACGCTACATTAGGCAATCGATTCGAAATCAAACTATTGTTGATTCGAAATTCTCGAACTATTCGATTTCGAATCTTGCAGATTCGAATTCGAACTATTCGCACACCTCTAATTACTACATAGTTTATCAGAAGCTACTTGTAACAATCAGTCTTAAATAAAAAACAAGTAACTTACAGTGTGCCGATTATTAATATCAATTCTATTCTCTTGTAATTGATATACTGTAATACATTCGGATTCAATAATACTTTATTGATAAACATTTGAAAGCAGTACATTGTATGTACATTGTATCGTTTATTCATTTAAGCATTATATTTTATAAATTTGAAATATTATGCAGTTAGCAACATTTTTATGGTCCTCTGACTTTAATCGACTTTCAAATGCCTTCAGTATTTTATCAATTACATACTATTTTAATAAAAAGGTAGTATAGAAAATTGGCGTGAACTTCTCAGAAAGAAACAAAATATCGACAGAATAAATGCTCAAGATTTACATCACTTCATAAGTAACGTGACAAACTGACAGCTATTCATAATTATTAACACATTAAAAATGTAGAGAAGAAATTTCAGTAGCTAAAATATACTTATTAAATATAAAAAAGTTACACTTAACAAAAAGTAACGATATGTGAAACATGCAACAGTTTTAATTAAATAATATTAACCTCGATATGATATATGATTCTTTATTTGCTTAAGCAACTTATCATATGTATATGTACAATTTAAGTAAATCGATAAACCAATTTTAATTGTATTTTATTTCGTTGTTTTTATCTTTGTATAATGTCAGGTATTAATTTTAACATGTTAGAGTAAACAAAACTTGTTAACTTTAACATATTAACAAAACTTGGCGTGTCCGCATTTTATATACATCTTATTAATTAATGCAATCCGGGTACGTATGCCAAGTTTTTGCTTCACCATGATCCCATTGGTCATTTTAATTATGTCATTTTAAGACTGTTTTATGAAACTTAAGGGGATCCTAAACCCGAGATCAACCTCCAAAAATTCGCTGTTTTATCGACGATTTGTGAGTATGTATGCGTGCAATATTGATGTAGTAGTGTGTAGTGATGTGTTCATATTTACTATCATATCGATATCTCACGCACACATCGTAACAAATTTTCAAGAACGTACAGCTTTTTTATTAGGCATCCAAGCCTAATTTTATGAACTCACCATTGA